GCAAAAGCAAATTTTGAAATTGGCGTTTGATTTTCCTTTATCCCAAGTGCCTATGTATCAAATTTCGTTTAAATTCTTCCATAAATAAAAAAGTTGGCACTGCGGATGCGCAAAACCAAATTTTGAAATTGGCGTTTGATTTTCCTTTATTCGAAGTGCTTCTGTATCAAATTTCGTTTAAATTCTTCCATAAATAAAAACTTGGCACTGCGCATGCGCAAAACCAAATTTTGAAATTTGATTTTCCTTTATCCCCAGTGCCTATGTATCAAATTTCGTTTAAATTCTTCCATAAATAAAAAAGTTGGCACTGCGCATGCGCAAAACCAAATTTTGAAATTGGCGTTTGATTTTCTTTTATCCCAAGTGCCTATGTATCAAATTTCGTTTAAATTCTTCCATAAATAAAAAAGTTGGCACTGCGCATGCGCAAAAACCAAATTTTGAAATTGGCGTTTGATTTTCCTTTATCCCAAGTGCCTATGTATCAAATTTCGCTTAAATTCTTCCATAAATAAAAAAGTTGGCACTGCGCATGCGCAAAACCAAATTTTGAAATTGGCGTTTGATTTTCCTTTATTCCAAGTGCCTATGTATCAAATTTCATTCAAATACTTTTATAAGTAAAAAAGTTTGCAATTCGGTTTATAAATGGTCGAGATGCGAAAAGGGCACTGTGAATTTTGAATCGATTCGATTCAACTTTTGGCATTGCGTATTATATGGCTAAAGCTATGCCCATATTGAATTTCATGCAATTCAGTTCATAACTAACGGAGATGTAAAAGCGATCGAACATTTCTAAACAAAGTTATCGTTCACACGGACACATAGATGGACAGATAGACAAAGGAACAGACAGACAGACCAACCGGCAGGCGACAGATAGCAATGCAAAATTATAAACGATCTCTAGGATCGTTAATAAACGGCAAAAGTGTAAAATTATGGAACATGTAAAAAACGGTTTTTTGTTTTTTTTACAATAACTTTTTTTGTAAGCGGTACAGAAAAAATTCCTTCCTT